GGAAAATTCCTTCAATTCCAAAAACTCCAATTTAGAGCCTTACGGACTGCGGGCGGTTACAGAGTGTCTACGGCAATTAACATCCTACTCGCTGAATCCAAAAAGCCGCCCCTAAACATATGTTTCGCCTATATCACTTCTAAATTCCTTTACAAAAATTTGGCAATCACTGAGAATCCTGTTTTAAATAGCTTTGCTGATATGGAGAGAGCTCTTTGTAATTCAATCCAGCGCTCCAAAGCGCTACAAACTATTCTGTTTACGAGAATACATCACTCATAAACATGTAGCGGGCTCTATCTTCTCGTCGGCTACTCCTCCATCATTCTCGCATAATTATCAATCTTCTATTTTCTCTCAATCATTCATCGATTCAATGTCCCTGATTGACCAATCGTATTCCTCAACTGTCTTTCAAGCTGAATTTAACAATAGGACTTCGGAATTCACCCATCCTTACTCTCCTCCTACACAGACGGATCCAAATTGGATCGGACCTCTGCTGCTGGCGTGAGCATCTATTCCCCTGATTTCGACCTTAGAATCCAACACAGAATGCCCCCTGAAACTTCCGTCTTTTCGGCTGAAGCCTAGGCCATCTTACAAGCCATCACAACCGCTTGCAAAAACAATTGTTCCAACATCGTTATATTCTCCGATTCGAAAAGCGTCCTAGAAGTCATCAGCCACACCAATGTAAACCACAAGAATTATCTCATCAGTTACATCAAACATAACCTCTGGCTTGCTCAGCAGTCGGAGACTGTAGTCATCCTGTTTTGGGTTCCTTCTCACAAAGGGATCCCAAGCAATGAAATAGCAGATCAGCTCGCCCGGAATGCATGTAATTCAGACTTCCGACCTGTATATCAAATTCCATATCCTGATCTTCAATTAGAATCCAAGCTGAGAAGCGAACAACGTTTCGCCGCCTTTTTAGTGGAACAAGCTTTTGTAAAAGGATAGCTCTTCGCAGATCACTACCAAAACTTCTCACCCAAGACCTGGTATCACTACAATAAATCACTTAAAAGAGAAGAAATTGTACTTGTCAACCGTATTAGATCTAATCACTACAATCTCCGATACAGCCTTCACAGGAAAAATATAATCGACTCCCTGTACTGCGCTTGCGGAGATCCACGTCAGGTCCACATCACCACTTCATAATTCACTGCCGACTGACTCGTCATAAAGCTGATAAACTGATTAACTATCTCCGCATCAAGTTTCCTAACTCTCCAAACAATTTATTTCCTTGCCTCGTGGAACCTCTGCCAAACTGTGCCGCCTTTTGCTATCCTTTTTCCGCTCTTTAGATATTTAAATTTGATTCGCCGCTCTCCCCCTGGCGTCCATCCAATTGGAAGGTGTGTGCGGAGCATTCTACGCGTCGCTACATTGGATACTGGCCGTATCGTGGGCGTCCACCTGCGGGAGCCATCAGTTCACAAGAAGAAGAAGAAAGATCCGGATGTTCGGATACGATCACAGGATACCCGCAAGTGAGTCGGGTGCTTGCTGAAGTGAGATAGCAACATTTCGGCTGCCACACGGCCTATTCATTATAAACAAAGCGCGCAACAGTTCTCCATTAACGTGCGTTCCGTGATCGAATGTCCGAGCACTAATGATGAACTAATGATGGCAACTAAATACAGAGTGTTTTATAAATGTATGTCAATATTTTAAGAAGTAGATCTACATACTGAAATAAGTAAAAAACATCATATGAACATATGCCCAACATACTTTAGTTTTCAAGTTATGGATAATTAAATAAAATATTCGAAGTATTCGCCTTGTGCATCAACATACACTATTGCATGCCTTTAAATTCCGCATTCACCTCCCCTCTGCAAACAGTACAATTATGGAAGTCGAGTGCCCCTTTGCAGGGGGTGAGGAGGGTGAGAGTCGAAGGTGAGAGTAGGGCGCCCCTTTGCAGGGGTGAGGAGGGTGAGAGTCGAAAGTGAGAGTAGGGCGCCCTTTTGCAGGATTGAGGGGGGGGGGATGAGAGTCGAAGAGTCGGGCGCCCCTTTGCAAGGTTGAGGGGGGGGGGGGAGAATCGAAGGTGAGAGTCGAAAGTGAGAGTCGGGCGCTCTTTGCAGGGGATGAGGGGATTGTGAGAGTCGAAGGTTAGAATTATCTGATTTTTCATGTAAAGCGGTGAAATAATTACTAACTTTAACTGTAAATAACTTTTTAACGAATGACGAGCGACGGCTAAAACTTGTTGGAGGTCACTCAGGGTCATGACCTTGACAACATATATCAAGGTCAAGGTCATTGAGGCTGACTCCCCTCATCGGCATAATTACCCTATTACATTTAAAGAACTAAAACTTTCCAGAAAACTTCTTCAAATATTCAACTACAATGTAGCATTAATGAAAATTTTTAATCCGAAAATTCGTAACACAACTTTAACGTTTAAAAAAAATTCACTAAACTCGACAAAATATTATTAAAAATCCGCCATTTTGTTATAAAGTGCTTCGAAAATTTCGGAATAGCTCTACAAGTCACAGAATATGTTAAAGATTATGGTATAAAAATTTGAATAATAAATATTAATATCCGGCTGAGAGAGATTTCGCGAGTTGAAGTGCTGCCGTTCTCCCAACGCCACTTTTTGCGGTTGTACTAACAGAAACATTTGTTCCCGTGTAATTTATTGAATTTTTGTTTACGTGCCAAATACAAAGGAAAATAAACAAATATATTTTTAACACATAATAAACGATATTTGTGCAACTAAATTAAACATGAGAACTATCCCAACAGGATTTAATTTCCTCTCTCAAAACAAATTGATGTTTACGGCTCAACAATTTTTTACACATTCTTATGAAATTATTGAAATTATTCAGAATTTCAGGGGGGGGGAGGGGCTGCAGACCCCACAGCCCCCTTCCCTTGGCTACGCCACTGATTGTTTGTAAATATTAGATAACGTCGAAACGTGCTAAATTGTATAGTAACATGTGTTGACGCACGAGACGAGTACTTCGAATATTTTCTTTAATCATTCATAACTTGAAAACTAAAGTATATAGGACACATAGGCGACTTACGAAAAATATTGGGGGGGAACATAACAGTATCCACTTTTATTGCGGTGCTACTGATAGAAATAAATCGCTGAAATAACTAAAATCTATCAAGTTAATGGAGATTTTAACGATTTATTTCCATCAAGAGCATCGCAAAAAAGTGGAAAATATTGTGTACTTGACATCCATTTCTTCAGAGGACTCTAGTGCATAAGGTATTTGGCAGTTACAGGAAAAAGACCCTCGTGTCCTCTCTCAGGTTTCTTTCTGGTACACTAGGGGTTCCTTCCAGGGGCATGTTCAGATTCCCACTTGGGTGCTCCCCGGGTGTCATGTCATCCTTGTTATTTAATAAATGTTAAACAAGAATGACATGACACCCGAGGAGCACTCTGGGAATCAGAACATGCCTCAACAAGCGACTCAGTACAACACAATAATCATCTCATCCTTGTTTGACATTGGCGGACAACAAGAACATAATGATACACTGTGTCACACCGTGTCATCACACCATTTGTTGTTGGAAGGCACCCTAGGACAGCAGACGACGTGCCAGCGTTACCACTAATTCGTCGTATCAATGTTACTGTATAGCGTATGTCACATGGCCGATGCTTTCTCGCAGTTTTGATCGCAGAAATTATTTGCAATTGTTAAAAAATTTTTTTAATTCATAATTTAAGTGGAGTATTTTTAACTTTTATTCACTCCAAAGGAGAGATATCTCAATCCCTTTTTTGGAGTGTAATACCAGAGTAGATGGAACCTCCGAAAGAGTAAATTTCGCTTTAAAAAGAGTAAAAATCTGCCACTCTTGAATAAAAGTGACCGTATTTTCACTTTTTTCAAGACTGGCTCAATTTTCAGTCTCTTCGAATGAGATTTCACTCCACGAGATTTAGAGAGTATACAATCTCACTTTGACAATAGAATAACATTACATTCTCAATGTTATTCTATTGCCAAAGTGAGATTGTATAAGTGGCAAATGGACACTGCCGCCACGAATCCATTCACCAAACATATTTTCTGATTTTTTAACAGAATCATTTAGTCATTCGATTTTGATTAGATTTCTTCATAGTTTACCTCGCATTACATCTGTGTCAAGTTTCATGACGATTGATTTTGTGTACCCCCAAACTTTCCTAATTTTTTATACGAAAAATGAAAATAAGAAAAACAACCTTAAAAGGTCTTGATTTTAACAAATTTTATCGAGGTCATAATCCTGAATAACATTTAAAAAGTTTTAACTATTAGTTAGATACTACAGATAATGCGTTCCGGTACTTTTTATATACCCTGTATAATATCAAAAAATAATAATAGTTTACAGATTCTTGATAACTCTAACAAGAAAACTAAACGGGCAGATGGGAGTCAAATACGGTTAATGAAGTGCAATTAACAACATATATATGTAAAAAGTTACAATTATCCAGACGTTTCGGCTCTTTTCCAGACCATCCTCAATGAGTGTTATCAATGATGAAATATAAGATATTCGAAACTTCAACTTGGAAAAGGTAGAACACATCATTGGCAGATGCATAAAGAATAAAAAATTGTTTACAATTCTTTACTCTGGTTGGATATTTTCAATCTTCTTATTTTATATTCAAGTGCACGACATTTATTTGCCAATGATATGTTCTACATTTCCAAGTTGGACTTTAGAATATCTTATAATTTATTAACATTCACTGAGGATGGTCCGGAAAGGAGTCAAAACGTACGAATAAATGTAATCTTTTTAACACATAGATATTGTTATTTATACTTCACTAACCGTGCATGATTTACACTTGCTCGCTTAGTTTTCTTGCTATCAGAAAAATACTCAGATTGTGACATAATAGACACACACGTACAATACAGAACTATATTTGGATAAAATACAAATCCCAATACATAATTGCGAAACTGTGTTATATTTACCTGTGAACCAACAGACCAATCAAGAAAGGTGCAGGCGGTAAAATAATCTTTTGTAAGCATTGCAATGTCTGACGAATAAAAAGAAATCCCGCATGCTCGCGTGAACCTAATAATAGGTTAGTATTTTGATATACTGAGAAGCCGAGTTCCGTCACTGTATTACCTAGAAAAGCAAACTCGAAATAATTAGTTGCAATGCAAGTAAATATTGCTATTATAAAGATATCGACTATACGAGGATCGTCTGAAAAGTTTTGAGCCTCATCATGAAGATAGCGTTACTCGTCAAAGCCATTCTGATATTATAATCGTGATACTTACGAAAGATATCTGTGACAATTGTGGCCACTTTGGACGTTCAGTTCTTGTTTGACAATCATTTGTGTCGCCATTTTATAAAAATGGAAAAAATTGAATATCATGCTATAATTAAATTCTTGCATTTGAAAGGCAATACGTCTATGCAAATTAAAGCCGAGTTGGACGCTGTTTACGGGGACTCTGCCCCATCATTTGTCACCGTGAAATGATGGGTAGTTGAATTTAAACGTGGTCGTACCAGCTTAGCTGATGATGAGCGTTCGGGACGGCCAACAACTGCGACCACCACCGATAACATCGAAGAAATTCATCAAATGATAATGGACAACCGTCGAATTAAGGTTAGGGAGATAGCAGAGGCTGTTGGCATATCAAAAGAACGTGTTTGTCATATATTGACTGAAGAATTAGACATGCGTAAGTTAACCACGCGTTGGGTGTCGCGCTTGCTCACTCTGGATCAAAAACGCATTCGAATAAACATTTCTAAGGCCCTGTTGGAGCGGTTTAAGCGAAACGAATCGGATTTTTTGCGTCGATTAATAACGGTTGATGAAACTTGGGTCCACCACTTCACTCCTGAAACGAAAGAACAATCAAAACAGTGGACTGCGAAGGGTGAACCTGTTCCGAAGAAAGCGAAGACGGTTTTATCGGCGGGAAAGGTGATGGTGAAAAAGAAGAAAGTGCTGTTGCATCAAGATAACGCACCGTCTCACACTTCGACGGTCGCTATGGCAAAAATTCACGAATTGCGGTTCGAATTAATTGACCATCCACCATATTCACCAGATCTGGCCCCCAGCGACTCTTTTCTGTTTCCTAGGCTCAAAGTTTGGCTCGGAGGACAGAAATTTTCATCGAACGAGGAGGTCATCGCATCCGTAGACGCCTATTTTGCAAAGCAAGACGCTCAGTATTATTTGAATGGATTAAAAGGGTGGGAGCATCGCTAGAAAAAATGTATCGACTTAAAAGGAGACTATGTGGAAAAATAAAATTGAATTTGACCGAAAAATTACTTATTTCTATGTTAGGCTCAAAACTTTTCAGACGACCCTCGTAGATAAATTCGAGGAAACACTATTAGCGCTATTTATGTCATTTTATGCCTGTTTTATGCCTGATAAACGATAAAGATAGAATGACTTAAATAGCGCTAATAGCGTCTCCTCGAACGTACCTTATATATGTCAAATGACATATGTACATATACGAGATATTACCTTTAATAGCTTCAAGATATAATTGATTAATGTATGTGAGAAGGTCCTTTGGAATTCGTGTTTCATCTGGCAAAACTTCAACTAGTAAAATAATTTCATCCTGACCAATACAAGCAAGACCTCTCGATGTCACATTCCAGCAGATCTTGTTTACGCAGCAATTTACTACAGATCATATGAATAAGATTCTTACATACATATACCGGCAACATAATTTCTTTATACTTACAACTGGTTATTTTCACATATGCATAAAGATTACGATTAATTGCGAACATTACTGACGGTTCGCATTCGTTTTTCAGTGTTTTATAAAGCACACTTTCGTCCATAGGTGGATGGTATGTAATTTCTGTTTATAATAAAGAAAAAGAAAATAAAGTGATATAAGTGACATAAGTTACTATAATTGCAAATATTTTTATATAATATGACATCCTTACGGCCTTTGTGTATCGTGACAGTCGGAGGCAATAAATTAGGATCATGTGGTATATAACTATTGGTCGTACTGTCTAAAGGTGGATGATTTTGCCTCCTCGTTGCAGTGTCAGTTAACACAGACCCCGATGCAAAAATCCGTTTATTTCCCTGCTTATGGTACGGTGGTTTTGGGTCCCAACACGTGTCTAACTCTGTCAGGTCACAGCCAGGCCTTATTCCTGTTTTAGTTATAGGTGCATAAAAATAAAACAAACAGGAGAGGCTGAGGAAGGGGAAGTTGATAACGTACTGGCATGTTTCAGGCAGGAAAAATAAACAACTAACAATTTCGTATTGAATGTATTGAATTGATAATTTGATGTAGGATATATTGGATAAAGGAATAACAAAAATAAGACACAAAAAATATAATGTAAAAAAATATGTATATAATTTAGAAAAAAACTGTACCTTTAAGAAGTAAATAGTAACCGATATATCTGTACAACTGAGGAAGAAATTTGACATTTTCGATTAGTGTATAGAACGTTATGACAGAAATGACAGAATAGCAAACTTATTTATTCTGTAGAATAATTGCATATAACAAATTATATACATTATACTCGACATATAAATTGAAACATACAAACTAATAATGGTATTATGCTCATGAATTTACAATACAACAATTGTAATCAATACGAAATATATAAAAATCTGTACATTATATTATACAATCTAATGTATATATACATATACACGAAAGTATTCGAACGCTTACATTTTTAACATTCAACGAAATGAAATATTAAATTGAATATTAAATTTAAGCCTTTTAAACAATATGATATGTAAAAGAAACACCAAAATTTTACCTTTTTTTCAAAAAAGTAAAAGAAAGGCGCCAAGTGTACGCGCTTGTATGTGTGCTCCTTGAAGAAAAAAATGACTTTTCCAAACCTATTCTAAACTTATTTTCCAAACAATTAAAGTAATAATTTTTTTCAAAAATGTGTGAAATCTTATTCCAAACTATTAAAGTACAATAATAATTTTTTTCAAAAATGTGTGAAATCTTTAAATTGAGCCAATTATAATACGAAAATACATTTCATTGAAACACTAATGTTGTATAACTATTTTTGAAGTATAAAATTCAAGTGGTCCTTAATAAATAAAAAAATTTTTATGTAAAAAAATCTTGGCGCCACTAATAAACTTGACTTGGTCTAGCGGCGCCAAGTTTTTTTACATAAAAAATTTTTTTATTTATTAAGGACCACTTGAATTTTATACTTCAAAAATAGTTATACAACATTAGTGTTTCAATGAAATGTATTTTCTTATTATAATTGGCTCAATTTAAAGATTTCACACATTTTTGAAAAACATTATTACTTTAATAGTTTGGAAAATAGGTTTGGAATAGGTTTGGAAAAGTCATTTTTTTCTTCAAGGAGCACACATACAAGCGCGTACACTCGGCGTATATTTTCTTTTATCTTTTTTATAAAAAAAAAAGGTAAAATTTTTGTGTGATATCACGCATTTTGTACTGTCAACCGTATTGCAGCACTAACAATAAGTTTTTTTTACTGTACCAGTCATAATAAGCGCGCGCTCCGCGCGCGCTACTGAGCTTTTAGTATTATATGTATAGTAAATATGTATATAATATTTATTAATCGATTACATTTAACCTTCAATATACAACCGTCAAACACGCGATCTCTGCGATAACAACCGCTCATGAAGTAAACCAAATCGACACGACATCCGCTCACGAAGTTACGCATGCGATACAATCGAGCTCTAGACAACCAATCCGCATCGCGGAAAAGGGGCAACAATGAATTCAACTATCGATTTAACATCCCAATTTTATTATAGGAGACAATTTTATTATAGGAAACATTTTTTACTTGAAATAAATTTTTTCAGTTATACTTTTACTTTATTGATTCCTTATAATTTATTGAGTTGGAATGGAAAAATATATATCATTTGGGTTGAAATAGGAAGACCTTTAAATGAGAACAAGAAGATGTGTATCACTTAGATTTTATTTTTAAGAAATAAAGGTTTGTTTTTGTGATAGATTTAGAATATTAGTTTTTTTACACTCTGATTTTATTTTTTAAAAGAAGTAGTACGACAATAATGTTTGAAGAAAATGTGTATTATTATGTTTGTAGTTGACTCAATTTAGAGATTTCATATATCTTTTTTTTAAATTATATATTTGAATTGAATAAAATAATGAAATTTTCTTGTATCATTTTTTAAATAAAAATATAACAAGAACTATAGAAATCAATGCCTTAAACGGTCTAGCTGGATCTTAAAATAGTGCTCGCAAAAATTTGCACATTTCAAGCCGATTCCTGCAGGCGCCGCCTACTGTCCCCCCACTACCGCTCGAGGTTCGGCGGCTTAGTTGCCGATCGTGTACGCAATGTTGTGACTCAGGAGCGTGTCCCTATATCAGAAATATACTAGGAGCACCTTCCGCCAAATCATTATTGAAATAAGTTTTATATTAAATAATTTATTTCTATTAACATAAAATTTTCTATTGTTAATTTATTCATTGTACCTTAATGATATACTTATATCTTAACGTAGTTTTCTAATACATTACATTGTTATTATTTCTAATACATTACATTGTTACCATTTCTAATACATTATATTATAAATTATTAAAATGGCTCAATCAGAATAAATCAATAATTAAAAAAAGGGCTACGAGCCAGATACAATATAAAGAATGTTTAATATTAATAGACAGATACAATATAAAGAATGTTGTTGGAAGTCAATGGCAGATTGGTGCGTTATAATTTTATAATATGTTTTTGTGAAAACGCAATTTTCTTTATGTCTTTATGAACACCTTTTTGAACGCTCTCAACCTTCCTTCTTATATACATGTTCCGATGTTTCCTTCTTATATACATATTCCGATGTTTTTGCCACAATAAATATTATATTCACTCAATATTGGTGACTTGTGTTCTAAATATCCCAAAAGACAACAAATGTTTAATATTAATATACTACAGATGTTTCGACCTCGATCGGGTCATTTTCAACGTAAATAATTTGTCCAAGTATTCGGTTAAATTACAAAAATATATTGGTTATTATCGCATTACCTATCGCTCGATGTGTGCAGTCCATATATAAAAACATTGTTTGACTGATGTGAAAAAGTGAACTCATCTTATTATTTCAAAATCTACAATCTTGATTTGTGTGTGTGTGTCGTAATGATGTGAGTCAGACGTTAAGAGAACACGCAAAATTAACTAACATGGAAAGGGACGCAACTGTCCCCCTCCGATCTTAATAACCTTTCAGTATGTTTTTTTCCAGAGAAAAATAAGCGACAGGTATTTTTTTATACGTGACCATACGCACTTTTAAGGGGTGCAAAACCCTTTAGAAGAAAATTTGTTTTTCTCTTTCGAAGCGGATATCGTCGAAACTGTAAGAGATAGAAAAAAATGTTTGAAATAAAGGTTGCATGGTTTCAAGAGTACTTTATAATACAAAAGAAAAACTTTTTTTTATTTTTTTTATTTGTTTATCCCCACCATTTGACTTTTTTTTCTTAAATTTTGATTTTTTTATAATAAAAAGAAAGATTATTTTAAGACGAATTCAACCATGTGTGATAAAGTTTATTTTCCAAAGTACCATTTTTGAGAAATAATTAAGAACGCCTCTATATGCACGCCATTCGTATTCCTTCACGCAGCACGTTCGTCATGTTGCGTATTTTCGCATAAATAGGAAACAAAGATGTAATCATAAAAATATTTGGAACTCTGCGGATGTCTAGTCATAGAAATTTTTATCACGCACAACTAGACAGCATGTTACTTACGTAACATCTGGATGATAACATAGTGTCAAGATCGAAAGTCGTGTATTATATAACAAAAAAAAGGTAAAAAAAGCGTTAAGCGTGCATGCTTCTCGTATGGAAACCACCATTTGGGCCGGTTTCACCAACGTCAATTACTTAATCGGCCGTGGAACTGATGACTAATTGCGTTTGCTGTTTGATGAAATTCTTTGTATATGATACATTCCAACCCAAGTTATAATGGCTTTATTCCCCTTCAAAAATTATTACATGAAAATCATTATATCACAAAATTTACTAAATCTAATGATATATGTATCATCTGTATAAAAGATTTGATATCAACAATTGTGGCGCCAAGTTAAATTCTGTTAATTTAATATCACAAAATTTACTAAATCTAATGATATATATGTTCCATCTGTATAAAAGATTTGATATCAACAACTGTGGCGCCAAGTTCAATTCTACTACAAAATAAAAAGTAAAACCTAAATGATACTATCTTTATTATTTACTTAATCCAAATGGTACT